TTGGCAACAATCCAGCGGATGGCTCTGCTGCGGGTCACTAGAGCGTACCGTTCAGTGTCTCATGAGGCGGTACAAGTCTTAGCCGGAACTACTCCTATTGATCTTCTCCTACGAGAAGAATACTTCCGGCATAAGATGAAGAGAGAAGGCCTGGTGGATCTACCGGCGAATCTTCGTGTGAGGATCAGTGAAGACCCTAATGGATGGAAGAGGATTCTTCGGGAGAACACATTAAAGGAATGGAACCAGCGGTGGGTGACGACGCCAAAAGGGGCTACGCTAAGAAAATACTTCCCCACTGTTGGTTCAAGAATGGAACAGACATGGGTTCTCCCGGACTACTGGGTCTCACAGTTCCTCACAGGGCATGGGGGTTTCCGAGCAAAGCTCGTTGAATATGGCAAGAACATCGATCCCCTATGCCCAAGTTGCAGAGTGCCGGAGACCGCCGAGCATATCATCCTAGTCTGTACCGCCTTTGAGGCACTGAGGGCTAAGTTGTTGAGGGAGACGGGGCTCTACGCTCTGACGGAGAGCGATCTCCCTCAACTTATGACAAAGGAAAAATACCCGTATTACAAGGCATTCGTATACGGGTGGAAGGAACTGGTTGGGTCAAACCACTTTTCATTGGGAAGAAGAATTGAACATGTATACGGAAGACCGCCAGAGAGGGTGGAACAGGATGCTGGATAAAAAGAAAAAAAAGAGCAGGCTGTGTGCACAGCTGTAAAAAATGTAATTGGTCTGAATGCAGCAGTGAATTGTAACGCATGCGTTGCTACTCACTACTGCATAACACCCGTATTGCCTTATCGGCAGGGTAGGGTGTAAATAAAATAAATAAATATCCTCTTACTGAATAGATAAGACTTTTATTTATTTTCTATCTGTAAGCCGCTTAGCTCCTAGCTGGATATTTGATATCTCTCGGGCTCCACGCCCATGTACGCAAATATATCACGGAAGATTTAAAAATGAAATTTCATTATAATGTCAGGCTGTGGGCTTCAGACTGAAATCTAATATATCTGAAAATTCATTTATAATAAATTTTAATTACAAATTTTTAATAATTTTGCTTATTACATAGCAGTCCGTTGTACAGAACCATTATAACAGAAGTTGTTATAACGCAGAAATCTTCATATCGTAATTTGATTCATTCGGTAAATGAGGACAATAATTGTTATATGACCTAATTAGCTAATTAATAATATGTAATGGAACATGAAACAATAATTTAATCGTGGAAATTTCTCATGATATTTGGTTTTATGTACCTTGTTTAACATATTGGATTTCATGTTTCTGAGAAGGAACAAAAGATACTGTCACGTATTTGATTTTTAGTAGAATGGTCCGTCTTAATACGAGAAGAATATAAAATAAGAATAAAAAAATACAAAACAAGGCATGGATTTCAAAATATAAAATAAAATAAATTTAAAATATTTGAATAATTATTATGAACATATAATTTGAAATTACAAAGAAAGTGTAAAATCGTATTCCTTTCAACATATTAATAATATAAATATAATAATAATATGTATTTAATAATAAAATATGGAAGATTACTTTGAATGGTAAATTTATAAGTATACATAATGAGCACTTCTATAGGTGATCAACCTAATTAGGTGACTGAGGAAAGTCCTGCTATACGAGTTTTCTTAGTGAAAATAGTTAGTAAAAATTGTCAGACTACTGCAAACAATTCACACCGATCAGGAGTGATGATCCCAACCCATATAGTTATGGTAATCGAGAATACCGATGTGGTTTTCCAAGAGGTCTGTAGCCACCCAGTGGTTTGGTCAATGTTTATTATATATAACAAAATGAAACTACTTGATATATATATATATACATATATTTTTTTTTTTTCGGTCGGCATTCAAGAGCATGTAGATAATTTCGCGCCTTAGCAAGCCTGCTCCATCTCTGCCTGTCTTTGGCTATTTCTTTCCATTTATCTGCACGCAGCTCTGTTGCATCTTTATTGATTCTATCTATCCATCTGCTTTTTGACATTCCACGTGTTCTTTTGCCTACTATTGATACATTAATTGTTACTTAGAGGCTTCTAGATGGATTGCTACTAGCCCCACCCATCTTAACCTCCGTGCCTTCATATCGTGGAATATTGATTGAACAGTTTCTGTAAACGTTTCTTTATTGGTATTTCTTCTCCACGTGTTAGTGCTCCGATCCCAAATCGCTCCGGTTATCATGCGAAATATTTTCCTCTCAATTCTTTCAACACTTTTTTCTAGGGTGCTGATTAATGCCCATATATGATCTACCTTGTAGACCATTCGCCCACTTAACAAGCCAACTCATCATCACTCATTCACAAGCCTACCGCATCTCTGCCTATCTTGGGCTATTTCTTTCCAGTTATCTGAACGAAGCTCTATTGTATCTTTGTTGCGTCGATCTATTTCTCCTTTTTTTGTCCTTGCACGTGTTGTTTTGCCTACGATTGAGGCATTCATTGTTGTTTAGAGGCTTCAAGATGGATAGATCCGCGTATCTTAACCTCTGATATAATGAACATTCTATTTTTATTTTACAAAACTACCATAAGACTGCAAAACTATGGTAGAAATAACCTAAAACAAATACTAAAAAACGTACATTACAATGCAGTATATTAATTAGTAGCAAGGTTGAAATAATTAGTAATGTGGTTTCATTGGAGTTAAATGGATGATTTATCTATGTATGGGTATATATATATTTTTTTTAAATTAATTTATTTTATTCATTCCTGATATGCACAACTGTATTAAAAAAATATATCTAGTAAATTTGTACAAATAATGAAATGAAAATAGTTGTTGAGAAACTACCCACTGGTAGGACTCTAATAATATGTCTATAATAGGAGATCACGAGCCCATCTTCTTTTCAGACGCCTCGGAGGGTTTAATTTATTAATTTTATTTTTAGTTGCGGGTTCTAACGTCAGGATTCGATCGGGCTAAGTTCAATTATCTATTGGTTTATTTATATTATATTAAAATTAATATTGATTTGGATACATATGATAATTAAATACACAATATATTTACGCCTTGCCCTGAGTTAGAGGCAGGTGTTGTGCCGTTCGGTCGGGAGTTCGGTCTGGATCAATGAAGACTGGAGTAGTCGATCCAAGGCCACATATCGTCGACAGTTGCCTTCTGAAATAGCAACTTACAGCACCGAGGAGGCTCCAATAATGTTTATATGTTTTTGTTTATTTTTTATTAATTCAAACTTTATATTTAGTTATAAATTAGTTAAATATTGTTTGACAGCAGATACGCAGTACAGTCAACTCTCGATAATTCGTATTTTTCGATAATTCAAGAACTTCAGTTGTCAACTTCAGTAAATCGAATAAATGCTGAATTTTAATACACTCAACTCGAAATACTTATGGTAACAACAGGGAGATAGAACGTTCTATAGTTCAAATTAGACCACTTACTCATAATTCAAAATTTTCCTAGTGATATTTTTTATAAATTAAATATTAAGCAAATTTTCATATCCTTAAATTAAGAGACTTGAACATTGGTACGAACATCATCATACAAGATCTGGCCTAAACCTGTAATTATTCTTGCAGCATTATTTACAACCTGGCATTATTTACTTGGTAAAAGTAAAAAAAAAAAACCTGATTTTGGAATGCCTAAAGGAATAAGACTAGAACAACATGTGATACCAGGGATACCAATTTTCAGGAGAATCATTTACAGCTTCTGAGTTAGTAAGAATATTAGTGTGAACTAATGAAAGCTCACCAATAGAAAAAATTCCACGTTAGATTAAAAATGGACAAATTCTATGCGCAAACCCTTTTTACACTAAGTTTCATGAAAAGAATAAAATAATTTATCAATGTTTGTCAATTAAGACAATAATTATTCAGATAATCAGGATGGAAAAGAAAACCAACACATGATCATACTAATTCAAGACATCCCAAGGCATACAGCAAGCTTGAATTTTGATTATATCTTTTCTCATATATATTACCCCATCTTTCAGGTACGAGATTAGATGTCATAGAGTGAAGTGATATTGGGTTTGTTTTCTTTTCTGTCCTGATTTGGCAAAACGTTGAAGGGTTATTTTATCTGCATTTTATAAAAATAAGATTCGTTGAAGATTAAGTTGAAATTTTTCCCATTTGAACCAAACGATAGAAAATTATTACTATTTTGATTTATGTTTCCGGCAAGAATGCACGAACGTCGGAGTTGACCATCCCTTCCCACCCCAAGGTCGATGGCGCATAAACATTCCCCCTTCTTCCAAGATATTTGATTGCTCTTATCTTCTTAAAAACAGTACAAGCTAAAGTAGAATTAAAAAAAAAAATAATCCTCAATGCTCCCAACTTTGTTACAAATAAAACCATCCACAACGACCTTAATGTTTCTTATATTTCAGATCTGGCCCAATCCAGATATCTGTTCTTCCATAATAAACTTCAGAATCATACAAACTCTCTCGTTTCTATCCTTGCTCAATTCCTTATAACCCTCCGAGGCTTCTGAAAAGAAAATGGCTCCGTGATCTCCTAATATAGATATATCATTAGAGTGCTACTTGGGTAGTTTCTCAACAAGTGTTTTCACGTCATTATATCCATATGTTCAAATTTACTAATTGTATTTTTTTAATACAGTTGTAAATATCATTAAGAAATAAAAAAAAGATAGTAAGTCACATGCTATGCCGCTTTCAGTGGTCTGTTCTTTGCTTAATCTTGTTCCCTGGTTAGAAACTCTTCATTTCGAAAATTCACAACTCCGCCGAAATGTGCTCCCTCAAAAATTTTTATAGCGCTACTTTCGCTATGAAACCCTATTTTGGACACCTCTAGGTATATATATATATATATATATATATATATATATATATATATATATATATATATATATATATATATATATATATATATATGTATATATATAGATAGTACAACATCCGAGCTAATGCATCACAACTCCATATTATGTGATTATGTGAAAGGTGAGTTTATCATCCATACTGGAGAATCTGCAGATTGTTCCCTCAGTTCACACCAGATTGAAGAGGTGTCTATTGAGTCAGTAGTGATTAGAATAAAGTTCTGTCACAAACCTTAAAGAGCTCCTTTCCAGGATTAGGAGCATTGGACTTCTCTTTGGAAAAAGCCTTCTAGGAATAGCTTGGAATGTCTCCTTTCCAGTATTCTCTCCAGAGCTTAGCCTTTCAACCTAGGTAATGGTCACCTAATTTTATGATTTTCTATTTATGAATTGATTAAACTAATCGTATTAATATACTTTAGTTTTCTAATGACAATTTATAAACAAATGAAAGTGGAAATATATATTTAATTATTTGATTTGGGAAATGCCTCATATTATATTTATATTTAGTTGGATGCTTAGACTAAAAATAGTAAGACAATCAAAATTACACAATATTTAGCACCGCGGAAAGTTTAATATTTTTATTGCTTATATTTAGTACATAGGCTATTGATAGGCTATAAAAGTTTAATAATTTAAATAATTTTTATTATAATCTTTGAATTTATTAATACATATCACAGTATATGGAAATGCACTGAAGCTACATGTGCCATTACTTCTAAGACGGACGATACCTATATCGTGGATTTTGCGGACAAGGATGTGCTAGAAACATGTGCCTGTAAGAAATGAACAAAATATAAATAAATGAATAAAATATATGGAACAGATAATGCTTTATCGAGTCAAGCCGATGGTTGAAACTTACATATTCTTTTTACAGCAATAGTAGATACAGCACCGGAAGCTCGATGGACAACACTTCCCAGGGACCTGACAACGATTCACAGCCATACCGACAAGGTCATTCGTATCATTCGGATCTGTCAATTCGTAAAATAAACACATAGTTACATACATATATGTCTGGAAATACCAAATAATATTACGGCCATGGAGTAAATGTAACAAAATATAATTAATATAACAACTCTTTTGTTAGCTGCTTTGATGTTTATTGCTTCCTTACATTTATTTTTTTATCCCCAGGTTCCAGTTTTTACAAAGAAAGAATATGAAAATCCATATATATATATATATATATATATATATATATATATATATATATATATATATATATATATATATATAAGATAAAGACCGGAGACTGGCGATATCAGCCTTAATACCATCTTGTAATGTAAATAAACATAGCAATTGTATATAAGGCAGATTATTGAACGAATAAAGCAGTGTTAATTCAGAAGCCGTGAGTATTGTTTCTCGTTCCTCTTTCCTTCTTTTTTTTTATTTACAAAGCCCGGAGACGCTTAACTGGTGCCGAAACCCGGGAGAACGTCAGGAGAACACGGAAGTAAAATTTTTTTTTCCTTTCTTTATTTTAATTTTTTTTTCTCTTCTCCTAGTCATAAGGAAAAGACGAGATGCCGACAGAGGGCATAATTCGACCAGGAGTGTTGAACGCACCTGAAATGCCGCAACCTCAGGAAATGCCGATAGCGCAGATTCCTCAGATCGCCCCTCAGGTTCCGCAGATTCCGCAGATACCTCAGATACCTCAAGTACCGCAGATACAAGAGATCCCTCCCTTACCTAGGGACACATTGGCAGAGGCGCACGCCAATGCATTGGAGTGGATGAAGATAAGGGCAGCGACCACGCAGGATCTACGGAGAGCAATCGCAGACCTGGAGCGATTCGGGGGCGAGATAGGTGAACTTAATCACTTCCTGAAAGGTGGAGACCGCCTCATATCAAGAATCGAAGCAAAGGTGGCGGAGGACCTCGTGAACCTGGGAGACGCAGAAGCACTGAAGGCAGCTCTCGTGTGCCGAGTGAGGAGGAACATCCTCAACCAAATCCAAGCGGACGAGGAGACACCATGGCCAGTGATTAAGGAGCGTTTGAAGAAGGCTTTCGGAGGGGGCCGATGGACGCCGGAAGAAGATATCTTCCAAATGTTTAGGGAGTGTCGGTCCCAACGCCAATCAAGAGGACAGTATGCGGGGGTACTAGTGGCGAAGTACAACCGCATAACTGAGAAAATGCGGGAAACCATGAGTGTGGGAGAGGTCGAAGCTAGGATGGAATTCCTTTCGACAATACTCAAGGTTCAGTTGGCTAAGGAGACTGGGAGAAGGGACGGACTGCCTAGAGAGCGATCGTTCCTCGAGTGTGCCCAAGAAATGATAGATCTGAGTGCAAGAGAGGAAGAGACGCGGATGGAAGTAGAAGAACCAGGGTGGACCCGGGTGAGTGACAGACGACCCCGGACAGCCCAGATCGGGTGGAGGAAGAGGGAAATGAAACACCCGAACGGAGAAAAAGCCACGACGGGCGAGAGAAGATCCGGACAGTCCAGGCCTAGGAATGGACCCCGGAGGGAAGACAGAAAATGTCACGGGTGCGGGAAACCGGGACATTTGGTAGCACAATGTCCGCGCACTAGATGTTTCGAGTGCGGGACGGAAGGGCATATTGCCAGACAGTGCCCGTACATGTTTCGCAGGAGAGAGAGACCTCTAGACGAGCCAATGGAGGTGAACGCTCAAAAGTTGAAAAAACGAGCTAGGATGCAGCAGAGAGACGGATCTTCGGAAGAGGCAACCGAGGAGTCGGGGACGTCGGGAACGGAGACTGACGAGCCAGCCAGCAGTGGAGGCGAAGGAGGCAGGAGCAGCCAACGGAGCGAGCAACGACGAGCGACGGCGGTAAGGAGGAAGCGAGGTGGCATCTGAGAAGGGTGTCAGCAGAGAGGCGACCGCACAGCAACCTGCAACAATATTAGAGGTAAGCCATGCTGGTTGCCGATTATTGAGGTAGACGGGGGAGTGAAGTGTCTCGTGGACACAGGGAGCTCGAGTACTATCTTGACTCGGGGGGCGTTGGGGAGAGTGTGCGGGAGCGAGAGGGTACTCCGGATACAAAACTGTGGCTGCCAGCTAATCACTCTGGGTGGTCCCTGTAAAGTAGAAGGGGAAGCGTCAATTACGCTTGATCGGTGGGCAGGGAAAAAGGGGGAGCTAAAGGTGCATGTGGTAGAGAGCATGACGCGGGAGTACCAAGTCATAATAGGGTGTGATCTGTTAGGACAGGTAGGGGTAAGCATTAGAAACCGTAGAGGAGCTTGGAGTATCAGGCTGGGAAAGAGGAAATTTGGATGTATAGGGGTCGCGAGAGAAAGAAGGGTGCGGATAGGAGCGGTGAACAGGGTGGAGGACTGGAGAAAGGCGTTACAAGCGGAGTTCGTAGATATTTTCTTCAGGGAGGGCGAGGTATTGGGGGTAACAGGGAAGACGGTACACGAAGTTCCACTGAAGCAAGATAGGGTGACCTACGTAAAGGAAAGGAGATACCCGCAGGCGCTGAGGCAGCATATTCGGGAGGAATTGGAAAGCCTAAAGGAGCAAGGGATCATAGTCGATAGCACCTCGCCATTTAATAGTCCCCTGTGGGCAGTGAAAAAGAAGGCAGCGCCGGGGGATAATAAGGAAAAATACAGAGTGGTAGTGGACTATCGTAGGTTGAACGACAACACGGTAGACGAAAAGTACCCGATCCCTAGATTCGAGGATATACTTGATAGGTTGAGTGGGGCCGTGGTGTTTAGCACGTTGGACCTCAAGGCGGGATACCACCAAATACGGATGCACCCGAAGGACCAACATAAGACGGCGTTTACATTCGAAAGGGGGCATTACGAATTCACCAGAATGCCGTTTGGTCTGAAGAATGCGCCCATAACGTTTCAACGCCTGATGGACGAATTTCTGAGGGGGATCGACGACTCCGTATGTCAAGTATACATGGACGACCTGCTGATTTTTAGCAGAACGGAAGCCGAACACGTGGGGCATTTGAGGTCGGTATTCGAAAGGCTGCGACAATTCGGGCTGAAACTGTCCAGTGAGAAGTCCCTGTTGGGACAAACGCGGATCAATTTTTTAGGCCACACTATTTCTAGCGAGGGGGTCAGACCGGATGCGGCAAAGGTGGAGGCTATCACACGAATGGCGGTGCCACGGGACGTTAAAGGGATTCGTAGGCTTCTCGGGACGCTGAATTATTATAGAAGATTCGTACCTGAGATGGCAGAATACTTGGTACCTATCAATAACTTGCTGAAGAAAGGCGCGAGGATCGTGGTGACACCGGAAATGGAAAATAATATTCGGAAATGCATGGATAGGTTGCAGGCAGAACCCGTATTGGCGTTCCCGGATTTTGAGAAGCAGTTCAACGTCACCACCGATGCGAGCGAATACGCGTTGGGGGCCGTTTTATCCCAGGGCAGAAGTGAGGGTGAACGTCCGATAGCATACGCGAGCCGACGACTTACGAGCGCGGAATCACGGTACAGCGCGTTAGAGAGGGAGCTACTCGCGATAGTGTGGGCCATCGACCATTTCAGGCCATATATATTTGGGAGGAAGTTTCGAGTCCACACCGATCACAAACCCCTTCAGTGGGTAGGAAAACTTAAGGAAACCTCTGCGAGGGTCACGAGATGGAAAGAATTCCTTAGTCAGTACAACATGGAGGTGGTGTATAAGCCGGGAAAGGAAAACGTGGTGGCAGACTGGCTCTCTAGGGCCATCATGATCAACGCGGTAGAAGAGGACGGGGGAGGTCCATCGCGGGACGTGCGCCAATTCTTGAGGGAATGGACTCCTGAGGGTGAAGGGGCAGATGATACCGTCAGTATAGAGGACAGGGAGGGGTCCCCGGAAGAAGATAGCTCAGCGGAGGAAAGACCAGTGGCGATGGAGGAAATAGACGAAATCATCAACGACAAGCATAGACAGGTAATCTGGAAAACCAGGACAACAGGGATCATGAAAATAGATTACCGAAGATACGGGAAAAGTAGGATTCGCGTCATTTGGTCGCAACCCGGGGTGAGCGAGGAGCAAATCCGTACGGCACTGAAGGACGCCACGGAACCGGGAAAGACACACCATCTCTATGTTGGGAACAACACGGTATGGGAGAAAATAAAGCGGATGTGGAGATCCGAGCGAATAGGCATGGATAGAACGATCATCCGGTGCAAGTATGCAGTGGAAACCGTACAGGATGAGGAGCAGCAACAAGCAATTACATTGGCATACCACCAGGGGAAGACCAACCACCGAGGCGTCAACGAGACGTTGCAGGCATTACGGCGAAAGTATTTCTGGTGGGGAATGAAAAAATCTATCCAAGGAATCATCGGGAAATGCGAGGTATGTATGCGCACAAAGTATGATCGACACCCCCCCAGAGGAGTTCAGGAAGAGACACCTACAGGGAATATGCCGCTACAAGACCTCCAGATCGATACATTCACCTGGAAAGGGTTCAAGTGGGTCACGATCATCGACACCTTTAGTAAAGTAGCTATGGCACATCAGGTCATGGACAAGTCTGCCAATGCAGTTGCGGAAGCCCTACAAATCTGGATACAGTTTTACGGAGTTCCCGAGAGGATCACATCAGACGGTGGCAGAGAATTCGACAATACCGCGATTAGGGAGGAGGTGAAAAGGTTAGAGGTTGTGTGGCATTATAACACACCGGGACACCCTAAGAGTAGAGGAGGAATCGAACGTTTGCACAGCACGTTGAGTGACCACATCCGTGTATATCAGGGAGAGAAAGGGTTGGAGCCGGATGTCGCGATGAAGAAAGCCGTAACAGCTTACAACCATTCGATCCACTCCGTAACGGGGTTTTCACCTGTGGAAATACTATTCGGGATGCGCAGGCCAAGGAGAGATTGGGGGGAAACAACGACCGATGAACATCTCGTAGAGCAAATCCAGAGTACTAGGGTAGAGGTAGGAAAGACGTGGGGAAAGGTAGCGGGGAGAATTCAGCGGGAAAAGGAGAAGCGGGTAGCGCGGCAGAATGTGCAGGTACGTGACCGAATGGGAGAATTAAAAATCGGAACAATAGTGTATCGTAGAATTGGAA